ATGATGATGATGATGATGATGATAAAATAATTACATCTAATATTTCCAAATTTCCTATCCCTCTCTGTATACTTTATGAAACTAAGGAAACGTTTTTATTGTTTTTTCTTGATTTTATGAAGCATTTGCACTTCTTCCTCGTGATATACTTTTGGTATCGGTTTCCATAACACTAAATAGTAAATGATCAGCTAAGTATCGTGTTTAGGTAAAGAAGAGACTGAATTATACAGAAAATGACTTTATCTCTTTTGAGTTTATGCTTCAACATTTACCACAATAGATGCAATTAATGGGATGCTCTTTAACTTACAGAGATAACCAAACCTTGGAAAGTTGCACCATTTGAACATCTACTTAGCACAGTCTTGTGAAACACAAATGGAAATGGCCACTTCCCTGATTCGCAAACTAAACCAACAATTTTCCTATTATTCGGTGTTTAAATATTTTACGAGAAGATTTGCCAACACTCAATAATGAATGAATTGGGTGGCCTTACACATCAAACCAGTAAATACATGTTCATCTAGTACAGGGGTCCCCAACCGGTGGGGTGTGACCCATTAGTGGGCTGTGAGGGGTATGCAACCAGGCCACAGAAACGGCTAGCGAGTGTGCGCGCTCCATTTAAGTGAGCAGCAGGCATGCATGCACGCTGCTCACAGAAATGGAATTGCATGTGCGCGCTTGCTGGCCAACCGCGTGGAATCATCCCCTCTCCCCTCCCACCGGTCCGCAAAACCGGAAACATTGGGGAACTCTGACTTAATACATATATACAGTAGTGGCCAAAATTGTGGAAACCTTTTGGGAAAAGTGTACAGTAGAAATGCCACCTTTGGTTAAGTTTCCACCAATTTTTCTTCTAATTTCTTTATAACTGTAGCCTTGTTCACTTAATAATACTATTTTATATCGCTTTCTGGGCGACCACTCAACTCTTTAATTTTATTACGTTTTACAAGCTCACTAAGTGAAAGAACACAAAAAACCCCAACCAACTTGATAGCGATCACATAACACACTGACAAATGTTCTCCTCTCAGCTTCAATACATCAATAACTGAATCCTACTGTAATTCTGATTGGCTCATTGCCAAAACAAGATGACACCTGATTGGCTCTCTAAACACTCCTGCTCATTGGCTACAATCAGATGAAGGAAAGCTACCTGATATCAACCTAATCAAGTTGTGCTTCCTTTTTCTGGTTATTTGGCTATAACTTTTCACGGAATACAGTAGAGATAATTGAACAAACTTTGTTGCATTACATTCTTGATTAAAGTATCTTTCTATTGATATATAACGTTATGGTACTACTCCACCACCCCCCAAAAAAGTGGTGTTCTACTATAGATGCATTAGCCAAAACTTCCCAAATCTATAGGATCCATGCTTTAACAAAATAACCAATAGTATTTTGATATATTTCATTATAAATGCATTATCCTTTTAACGTTGATACTATTCTGTTGTCCTTGGCCTTGAACCAAAATGCCAGATCATAATCAAGAGTCCAGTAAGTCTCAGAGCGGTATAACAGTCCAAAGCAGATATTATGTCATGCCCCTAAACATAGAGTTTTAAAGACTTTTATGCATTTTTGCACAGTGCACATCTATGTCTGGAAAACTCATTAAGGAGTATCAGAAATGATCCCAGTGCCCACCTGAGTAGGTACCTTTCAATCTCTCCCTTTCCTTGGGGCTTTTGATAAACAAAGCACTTTCTTCAGCCAAGAGATGCTCCTGGTATAGCTAAAACATATAAAAAACGGTTGCTGGAATTGGGTATGTCTAGTCCAGGGGTAGGCAACCTATGCTCTTTTATGACTCGTGGACTTCAACTCCCAGAATTCCTGAGCCAGCCATGCTGAGGGGAAAGGGAGAGTCTTCAAGCTGAGCCATGCTGGCTCAGGAATTCTGGGAGTTGAAGTCCATGAGTCATAAAAGAGTCGAGGTTGCCTACCCCTGGTCTAGTCTAATGAAGAGAAGGATGAGGGGGGACATGATAGCAGTATTACAATATCTCAGGGGCTGCCACAAAGAAGAGGGAATCAAGCTATTCTTCAAAGCACCTAAAGGCAGGACAAGAAGCAACAGATGGAAACTGATCAAGGAGAGAAGCAACCTAGAACTAAGGAGAAACTTCTTGACAGTTAGAACAATTAACCAGTGGAACAACCTGCCTTCAGAAGCGGTGAATGCTCCAACACTGGAAGTTTTTAAGAAGAGACTGGACAGCCATTTGTCCAAAATGGTATAGGGTTTCCTGCCTGAGCAGGGGGTTGGACTAGAGGACCTCCAAGGTCCCTTCCAACTTTATTATTACTATTATTACTATTATTGTTGTTGTTGTTGTTGTTGTTGTTGTTGTTGTTGTTATTATTATTATTATTATTATTATTATTATTATTATTATTATTATTATTATTATATCAAGGAGAGAAGCAACCTAGAGCTGAGGAGAAACGTCCTGACAGTTAGAACAATTAACCAGTGGAACAACCTGCCTCCAGAAGCGGTGAATGCTCCAACACTGGAAGTTTTTAAGAAGAGACTGGACAGCCATTTGTCCAAAATTATATAGGGTTTCCTGCCTGAGCAGGGGTTTGGACTTGATGACCTCCAAGGTCCCTTCCAACTTATCATCATCATCATCATCATCATCATCATCACCATCATCATCATCATTATTATTTCTTTCCCAAATAATTGATCCCAGAGCAAAAAAAAAGGGTTTCCTTACCCAAAGCAGCCACGTTCTGAGAATTCTCCAACATGACTTCCCTATGCAAGGCTCTTTGACAACAATCCAGCAGGGCCCATTCCTCCTCTGTGAAACTCATGGCTACTTCCTCAAAGGACACAGAACGCTGAAAGAGGAAGAAACATTTTCCTTAACAGATAGCCCCGGAGGAGGACATGTTAAATTTCCTCTTATTTCATAAAACTAAAATACACGATTTTGCAACAGCACTAGCACTTGGGACTTATATACCACTTCACAGTGCTTTTACAACCCTCTCTAAGCGGTTGACAGAGTCAGCATCTTGCCCCCCAACAATCCGGGTCCTCAATTTACCGACCTCAGAAAGATGGAAGGTTGAGTCAACCTTGAGCTGCTCAGAATCAAAGTCCTGGAGTGAACAGCGAGTGAGCAGTGAGTGAGCCTGTGGAGCAATGCCCACTTTTTTCCGTTGTTGGAATGACTACAAAGTTGATGAAACTATTCCAAAGTGCACAGGATTATTTCAATTTATATGATTTAGCTACATCCAGGAGGCAGACCAGCAGAAGAGGTCCCCTTGGAGAGCTTCTCACTGGCCCAGAAAGCACCACAGATGCTTAGGGGAGCAGTATGCCCCACCTCCGTCTCCCTGTATAAACAAACCACAGGGACTTTAGACAACACACAAACATGGTAGGAATTTTTTTCCTGTAACTATTCAAATCCTTGGAGACAATGATGCTCTCTGAGCTGGCTTGTTTTCTTGCAGACGTTTCATGACTCAAACTAGGTAACCTCACCAGTGCTAGAGGGGAGTGGGGAGAGGAGGAGGAGATGGAGGAGGAGGAGGAGGAGGACTGTGGGGTCCTTGGTGCTCTCTGAGCTTGGTTGTTTTCTTGCACACGTTTCATGACCCAAACTAGGTAACCTGACCAGTGCTAGAGGGGAGTGGGGTTGGAGGAGGAGGAGGAGAAGGAGGACTGTGGGGTCCTTGGTGCTCTCTGAGCTTGGTTTTTTTTCTTGCAGACGTTTCATGACCCAAACTAGATAAAAACATCAGCACTGAGCTTCAAATGTTTTCCTTTATTGGTATCCTGGAGGCAAGCTTGGAAACCCTAAGTGACTTCACCAACATTTTTTTTTAACCTCGCAGCTTTTGTTACTTCTTCGTAGTGTGACCAAAACATTTTTACGGTATGAAAGATTTAGCTTGTGACAGTGAGAATATTTACATGGGAGATCGGTATTTCAGATTATTACCTCATAATCAAAGGAATTTGTCCTACACTTGTAGTGGTTTCTATGTCATGTTTTACTTCACTCGTTCCATTCTTAACTGGCTTTGAGTACAGTAGTGGCCAAAATTGTGGAAAACCTTTTGGGAAAAGTGTATACAGTAGAAATGCCACCTTTGGTTTAGGTTTCCACCAATTTTTCTTCCAATTTCTTTATAACTGTAGCCTTGTTCACTTAATAATTCTATTTTACATCACTTTCTGGGCGACCGGTCAACTATTTGACCATTACTTTAATTTTATTACATTTTACCAGCTCACTAAATGAAAGAACACAAAAAACCCAACCCACTTGATAGCGATCCCATAACACAATGACAAATGTCCTCCTCTCAGCTTCAATACATGACATCAATAACTGAATCCTCCTGTGATCTGATTGACTCATTGCCAAAACAAGATGACACCTGATTGGCTCTCTAAACACTCATGCTCATTGGCTACAATCAGATGAAGGAAAGCTATCTGATATCAACTTAAGCAAGTTGTGCTTCCTTTTTCTGGTTATCTGGCTATAAAGTTTCATAGAATACAGTACAGATAATTGAACAAATTATGTTGCATTACATTCTTGATTAAATTATCTTTCCATTGAAATATAATTTTATGGTAATACTCCCCCCCAAAAGTGGTGTTATTAGCCATCAAACTCAAAAATACACTTTTCCCAAAGGTTTCCACAATTTTAGCCACTACTGTACCATTTTCTATTTTTACACCTGTTTTGGATGCTGGATTTTGCGTTTTCACACCAACCCTGTATAGCAAACCAAGACGTGCGAGTGTGCAATGAGAAGAACAAGACACTCCATCTTGCCAAAGAACTGGCCATACTCTGAGCCTGGGGGAGGGGGCATATGGTTCCATTCTCTGATGAAACTTTCCCTACCTGAATTGGGGGCATAGCTGCTGTTTCTGCTCCATTACAAACAGGAGACGTTTTGGGGATTTCTAGTAATGCCTTTCCATTCCCTGTAAACAAGAGAAAAATGGGGGAAACAGACTGTTTTAAAGTCTTGTGAACAAGCTCTTAGGAAGCACTATATACAAAAGCCATCCTCATGCACAAGAACCAAGGTCTTTCGAAAGTTGTTTACTGAGAACTAAACACTTTTTCTCATAACAAGTGTCTAACGTTTAATTGGATAATGTGACCCGCTGGATTGAAGGGAGACGTCTATGCTTTTAATATACCGACTTAGGGGCCAATTAACTAGAGCTGGTTTTCCTTTCACCTGTGCTGAAATGATGTGCTCAATAAAGTTTTGCATTAGAGATTGGATCGTCTCAGCTGTGCTTACTTCGTTGGGTTCGTCAGTCAGAACCTTGACACCTAGGATCTGGTGCGAAAGAAGCTCAGTCTCAATGCCTTCAAAAAAAGACCTTCTCTTACCTGACGAAGTGACAATAGTTGGATTATCCTGGGAGATCTTCCCAAAGAGTAGTTCCTGAGAGGAACTGAACAGATATCCCCTTCCTTTGGGATGCATTGTGATCATTTCCATCCATGGCTCCTCCACCTGAAAGACCAGCTAGTATTAGAAGGCCTGATGAGATGTGATGCTGGCTACCATCTTGTCTGTGTTCAAAAGGAGTTGGGCCAATTCATGAGTATCAATACCTATGAGTCTTTATGGCAGTGTGACTGCCTCTGAAAGCCATCTGCTAGGAGAGTAGTGGGCTTCCTTGTGTGGTTGGCAGGCTACTGTGAGAAGAGATTGCTGGACTAGATGGGCCAGAGGTACAATACAGCAGGCCACTGTTTTACATTTTTATTTATATCCTCTTTATGATGGACATAAAGGGCGGCATGGTGGCTTAGCTGTTAAGACGCTGGTTCAATACTTGGGAAGAAAGAGAATTAGAACAATAGCAATAGCAATAGCACTTAGACTTATGTACCACTTCACAGGGCTTTACAGCCCTCTCTAAGCGGTTTACAGAGTCAGCCTATTGCCCCCCAACAATCTGGGTCCTCATTTTACCGACCTTGGAAGGATGAAAGGCCGAGTCAACTTTGAGCCAATGAGAATCGAACTGCCAAACTTCTGGCAGCTGGCAGTCAGCAGAAGTAGCCTGCAGTACTGCATTCCAACCACTGCGCCAACATGACTCTTACAAACACATAACAAACACATAACGGAAGATGTCTTATCCTCTGCCTTCAATTTGTGTGTGTGTGTGTGTGTGTGTGTAATAGAAATAGTCTAAGATTTCCCCTTCTCTGGAATTATCTGATAGCGGAAACAGAATCATTTGCCTAAATAAAAAATCTCCTATTATACATTTGAAGAAAGATTGACTAGGCACTTAAGGAAGCACGGACATTGCTAGACACATTATAATCCTGTTGCAGCTACAAGGCTGAAATTCTCTCACCTGCTTCATGTCCAGCTCATTGTCTGCTGCCTGACTCAAAAGAAAGCCTTCAGCCAAAGCCACCGCCTGGGAACAGGTCTCAGCTCTGCACTCCCTGACCCAGTTCTCCATCTCTGGAGGCAGGATAGCCAGGAACTGCTTCAGGACCACCAGATCCAGCATCTCAGCTTTGGTGCTCCTTTCTGGCTTCAGCCATTGATGGCAAAGCTGGTGGAGTTGGCTGCAAACTTCCCGGGGTCCCTTGTCCTCCTGGTAGCAGAAATTCTGGAAGCGCCAACGCTGAACATCTGAATTGATAGTGCTCTCATAAGGGATCTCCTGGCTGGTTGTTTCCCAAAATTCTCTACTGTTTCCAGTTTGAATGGCAGGAGAGTCTTTTTCTGCTCTCAGTCCTGCTGACCTTTGCATATCTATTTTTTTTTTATTTCTGCTCTAACGCACCTCCAAGTAGAACCAAAAATTTCCTGGTCTACAGATCCATGTTTAGTCGAAACGTCTATATATTACAGGAACAGATTTGGCTGTGATTTATTTTCGGTTCTAGACAAGCAGTCACCTTCAAAAGCAAATTAACAGAGTCGGCTCTCGGCGAGATGGGCGGCTTATACATTTCATACTAAATTTAAAAAAGCAAGTTAACACGCTTGCCTATATTCCAAAGAAGGCAAATGACCAGCTGTCTGCAAGGAATATAAATCCTTCCATTCCCCACCCTCCAGTCAGAGCTGAAGAAGCTTCTTGGATAAGAAGTGAAACGTCTTCAAAGAAAAACAAGAAAGTCCAGTTGCCTCTTGAAAAAGCATCTTTGGGACATATATTTCAATCTGAACATGAACTGAAAAACGGAACAAAACAAAATGGAACAAAAATCAGAATAGGAGAGAAGTGCAGTCCTTGCCATCCAATTGCAGAGAATCATTATGCTCTTGCTTGGAGATCTTTGTCCCATCGGATCTTCTCATTAAAATCCCTCCAGAATGAAAATCCAGGAAGATCCGCAATCAGCAGTCTTTTTTCAGATGGGGCACAACTCCCTCCTCTCTTCCATGAAAATAAGCTGGTTTATTCAGCTACTTCTTACCGGCACTCTTGTGTTCTGGAAGGTTTTTGGTAGAGGGGCTCCTCTCCACAAACTATTCTAAGATCCAAATCCAGGCTCTCCTCCAGGATTTCCAACAGAGAAGGATCCCCACCCCACTCCCCACTCCCAACACCTGATCCCTGGAGAAGGCTGGAGAGCCAGTCAGCCAAAGCTCCTTCCCTTTCAACTACAGGTAGTCCTCGACTTACAACAATTCATTTAGTGACCGTTCAAAGCTACAACGGCACTGAAAAAAAGTGACTTAGGACCATTTTCACCCGTACGACCGTGCCAGCATCTCCACGGTCATGTGACTTACATTTGCACACTTGACAACTGACTCACATTTATGACGGTTGCAGCGTCCCAGGGTCACGGGATTCCCCCCTTTGCGACCTTCGGAAAAGCAAAGTCAATGGGGAAGCTGGATTCACTTAACAACCGTGCTACTAACTTAACAACTGCAGGGATTCACTTAACCGTTGTGGCAAGCAAAAGCCATAAAGTGGGGCAAAACTTTCACTTAACACGTCTCGCTTAGCAACATAAATCCTGGGCTCCGTTGTGGTCGTAAGTCGAGGACTACCTGGTATAAGCGGGGAAGATCCTTTCCAAGTTTCCTGGATCGCTGGAAGCGCCGACAAGCAAGTCGGGGAGCTGCGGGTGAAGTCAGAGAAGGGCTTTCCCTGCCTGATGGGGGCATCCCCTTCCTCCCCTTCTCCTACCGGGGGACAAAAGGGTCTCCCCTCTCCCCAGTCACCGCCTCCTTCCCGGATTTCCAGCGATCTGAGGTTTGTTGTTCCCGGGATGAGCGACTGCAACTCATACTCGGACCCACGCTTGCCCTTTCCTTTCCAGGAACGGAAGAAGGCAGAGCATAGCGCTTCTTCCTAGAGAGGCGAGACGCTCTAGGAAAGAATAAACTCCGAAGAGAGCTGAGCATGCGCTGTAGAGATTTGTTGGTAAAGCTCGAGCGAAGGACTGGAAGTGAAAGTCACTTAATGAACCCCCCCTTGCCTCTCTAGGAAGAGGCGCTCTCTATCACCCTCATTCCCAGGCGCCACCAGACAAAGAGGGCGCGGGGCTTCTCTTTCCCAGCAAAAATGGAGGAAGCCTGATTGCAAATGCCACTCCCCCCCCCAAAAGGGGGGGGGGTTTACCAGGAAGGCTGGGAAGGGGCTGTTGAGTGTTGGGAGGGGGATCCCTTTGCCCCCAAAGAGGGATCCCTTTGCAAAGAGGCGGGGAAGCATCGTCCGCATTGGCTATCCCCGGCTGGATCTCAGCAGCTGCAGCGATCCGGAGAGATTGGAAAGCGCCTGCGTCCTCACTCCCCAAGTCACCCCGTTCCTGATCCTGGAGGGTCCTAGGGGAGGCTGGTGGGAATTCTGGATGTTGCAGGAGATAGGAGACAGGAGACAAATGGACATTTGGATTGCAATTCTTTGTTGTTTTTTTTCCCCTCTTGGAATTGGGAAGAGGAAGGCATCTGATCTTGCCTGGGATGTCTCTTACGAAAAGATTAAATCATAAAAGGGAATATTTATGAGGTTACTCTCTAGATTTATTTTGATTTAAAGCTGAACTGTTACTGATTAAAGCGGAATTAAGGAGAAACTTTTAACCCTGAGGATAATTAACCAGTGGAACAACTTGCCTTTTAGAAGTTGTGGGTGCTTCATCACTGGAGGTCTTCAAAAAGAGACTGTCTACAGTCACTCCTTTGAAATGGTATAGGGTCTCCTGCTTTCCTGACAGAACAATTAATCAGTGGAACAAACCTCCCTCGGGAAGTTAAGAATGCTCCAACACTGCAAGTTTTTAAGAAGAAACTGGACAGTCACTTGTCTGGAATGGTATAGGGTCTCCTGTTGAGAAGGGGGTTGGACTAGAAGACCTCCAAGATCCCTTCCAACTCGGTTATTCTGTTATAGACGTTTGTGCGGACCTGTTTTGCAAGGGGGGGAGAGAATTACTAGTGTTGAAATATCCCAGTAGGCAACCGGGAGCCACGCCAACGGTGTGCTATTCGGGGGGGGGGGGTCAGACTAGAAGACCTCCAAGGTCCCTTCCAGCTCTATTCTAATTGATTGAAAGTCATTTTGTGGAGGCAGTGAGCATTTACACTGTTTTGAACTACACTTGACCAGGTAGAATGGAACTCCAGCGGTCTTCAGGGAGAGGAGTTGCTGAAGCCCAGGAGCCTGTCATTTGGCCTGGAAGCAGAGGGAACTTTCGGGGAAGCAGCAGCCCAAGAGGCCTCCCCGTAAGGCCCCACAGCTCCGAGGCTGAGTACCAGCACTTCCGCAACTGCCGCCCCCGGGAGGACGAGGGGCCCCGGGCGCTCTGCAGCCACCTGCACCAGCTGTGCCGTGAGTGGCTGCGGCCCGAGTGGAGCGGAAAAGCCGAGATGCTGGACCGGGTGGTGCTGGAGCAGCTGCTAGCCCTGCTGCCCCCGGAGCTGGCAGGCTGGCTGCGGGAGTGCGGGGCGGAGAGCTGCGCCCAGGCGGTGGCCCTGGCCGAGGGCTGCCTGCTCTGCCCAGCTGCCTCCCAGGAGTTGGGAAAGTGGCAGGTGAGAGAATTTCATTATGGGAGCTTTCTAAGAAGTAACAAGCAATGACCTGAATTCCTAAATTCTTTAAAGGCCTTGCCTGTCTTTTCTGCAACTATTCTCCTAGGTTCCTTTTTTTTTTTAACATAAAAGAGGAAAAAAAGTAATAGATACATTGCACAGGTGCAAATTAGTAGAAAGAAGAATAAAAATGATACTAAATAAGACATTGATGCTATGATTTGGTGCTTAAAATGGAACTTAGCCTTGTTGTTAATTGTGAAGTCGTGTCCGACCCATCGCAACCCCATAGACAACATTCCTCCAGGCCTTCTTGTCCTCTACCATCTTCTGGGGTCCATTTAAGCTCACACCTACTGCTTCAGTGACTCCATCCAGCCACCTCATTCTCTGTCATCCCTTTCTTCTATTGCCCTCAATCTTTCCCAGTATTAGGATCTTCTCCAGTGAGTCCCTCCTTCTCATTAGGTGGCCAAAGTACTTGAGTTTCAACTTCAGGATTTGGCCTTCTAAAGAGCAGTCAGGGAACTTAGCCTACATATCTGTAAATATGTAAAACTAAAAATTTAAACTTAATGAGTAGTTAGAGACTGGATGGAATATGTTGCTTGAGTTGCCCTTCAACTGCAGTCTTAATGTGCTTAGGATATGTGCCTTCCCCACAAAAGTATCACAATGTTGCTGTACCTTAACTGCCAGGCCAGTGGTCTCCCCATTACAAGAGGCAACAGAAAACCAAGCTTGTCCTTAAATCTAAATCAAAATACTCCAGGTGGTAATAGCACTTATTTATATGCCACCCCATAGTGCTTTGCAGCATTCTCTGATCTGTTTACAATGTCAGCCTATTGCCCCCAGCAATCTGAATCCTCATTTTACCGACCTTGGAAGCCTTAGTCAACCTTGAGCCGGTCAGAATCAAACTTCTTGCGGTGAGCAGAGTTAGCCTGCAATACTGAATTCTAACCACTGGGCCATCACGGCTCTAAACAGACTTAATTAAAACCACAAAGAAAGAAAGAAGGGCCACATCCTTAAAGAAACCACAGTTGTCCTGTGGTTAGATGGGCTGCAAACAAATTTAATAAAGAAATAAAGAAGAGGAACTCGTAATCAGAATAAAAAGAAGAAATAATCAAAAGAGGCTCAGAGTGGTGTAACAAAAACAGCATTTAGCCAAATACAAAGATGAATCATTAGCAGTTTGATTTGGGTTGGGGAGAAGGCAAGGCAAGGGAGCTACTGCAGTCATGGTCATCAGAAAGTGGATCATAAACCAGGGTGGTTTTTTAGATGCAGGAATTGTTCATGGAGGAGACCTCGGCAGGCTCCCAGGGAAGAGGAGATCAACCCGGTCCTTCTCAAGAGCTTTTCAGGAGGATCTCACAAGAAGACTCACCTCAGGTCACTTCCCCATGTAAGTGAAGGCATCTTCTGAAAGCCCAACCTCCTTCTATTGATGATCTGCTTTGGCCATGAAATTCTAGGCCTGTCTCCTTTTGTTTATTGTGTATTCCTAGATCTTATTCACAGGTCCTACAATAATCTGTTTCCATTTCTCTCCTTAACAGGCCAGGGAAGAACATCCATGGAAACCCATGAAATGGCACATGTTTGTGATGTAGCAAAAGTAGCAGCTGTGCATCCAACTCAGGTAAGGGGTTGAATCCCAACAGGGGACTGTTTGGTATGGGGCTCAGTGCACAACCTGTTCCTCAGCAAAAGGGGGCATGGAGGCCAAGCTTCAGTGACCTATTGAGTCATACTTAGTATAGTATACCCCCTTCAAGACTGTTGTTGAGCTGCAAAGAGAAAATATACAAGCTGAGGGGCTGGTGTTGTAATAAAGAAATGCAATTTATTGTTGAGAGAAATTAATGTTCTTTTTTTTTTACTTTTACCTGAGGTAAATTAATACAGATAATGAGGTAATATCCCCCATCTTATGACCACAGTTGAACCCAAAATTTCTATTACTAAGCAAAGCAGTTGTTAAGAGAGTTTTGCCCCATTTTATGACCTTTTTGCCACAGTTGTTAAGTGAGTCACTGCAGTTGTTAAGTGAATGACACTGTCATTAAGTGAATCCAGCTTCCCTCATTTACCAAGGCCACACTTGGAATACTGCATCCAGTTTTGGTCACCTCAATGTGAAAAAAGATGTTGAGACTCTAGAAAGAGTGCAGAGAAGAGCAATGAAGATGATTAGGGGACTGGAGGCTAAAACATAAAGAACGGTTGCTGGAATTGGGTATATCTAGTTTAATGAAGAGAAGGACCACGGGTGACATGATTGCAGTGTCTCAGGGGTTACCCCAAAGAAGAGGGAGTCAAGCTATTCTCCAAAGCACCTGAAGGCAGGGCAAGAAGCAATGGGTGGAAACTAATCAAGGAGAGAAGCAACCTGGAACTAAGGAGAAACTTCCTAACAGTGAGAACAATTAACCAGTGGAACAACTTGCCTCCAGAAGTTGCGAATGCTCCAACACTGGAAGTTTTAAAGAAGAGACTGTACAACCATTTGTCTGAAATGGTATAGGGCTTCCTGCCTGAGCAGGGGGTTGGACTAGAAGACCTCCAAGGTTCCTTCCAACTCTTCTATTATTATTATTGTTGTTGTTATTACCACTTTGCTTGTCGGAAGCCAGCTGGGAAGGTTACAAATGGTGATCACACGACCCTGGGACAGTGGAACTGTCATAAGTACATGTCAGTTGCCCAGGGCTGGAATTTTGATAATGTAACCATGGGGATGCTGCTACATCGTAAGTGTCAGGGCCCACTTCAAAACCTCATCCTAAGAAAGCAGAACTTGTGGAAGCAGTTTCTTCCAAAAGGAACTTTTATATTAGGAGAAGCTGATAGCAGGCATAATAGACAGGATCTGAAGGTTTCCCACTCAGATCAATATGGGTTTGTAGGCTGGTTGTAGGTCAGTGTGTCTGTTGATGGAATGGCTTGTGGAGTGCCAAGCTTTGATGAACCTGAGAGCGTGACGGGTGGTAGCGTGGCCGATGATTTTTGTATTGCGCCAATCAAGTTGGTGTTGTTTGATGTCAGTGTGGATAGAGATTAAGGATTGTGGCGTTTGCCAGCCAGTGTTTGTGGATCCTGGTTTCTAATTCACATGATGTTTGTCCCACATAGAATTAGTTGCAATCGTTAACAGTTGAGATTAGACTGCTATTTTCTGGTATGGTCTAACCCTGGAAAGGGGCTGGACATCTATTTTAATCCTATAATTTTATTCTGTAATGAAATCGAATTGAATCAATAAGAAAAAACATAAAACAGTGGCAGAAATACAGAAGCCTATTCCCTTAAAAATCAACAACGTGAAGTACAGATTTCCTAAGTGAAAAAAAACCCTGCATTTAAATTGTTCCTGGGAATTGTTCGATACGTGATATTTTCTTCCACTTTCAGGGCTTCATATCCTTTGAGGAAGTGGCTGTGGACTTCACCAAGGAGGAATGGACGCTACTCAGTTGGAGCCAAAGAGTCTTGTGCAGGGAGGTCATGCTAGAGATTTCCCTGAATATGGCTGCTCTGGGTAAGTACCCCTCGTTACTCAATTCATTAGAGGTCTTTAGGGACAGGAAGTCAAGGAACATATTTCTATGCATTGGCCTAGGGCAGGAGTAGGCAACCTTGGCTCTTTTATGACTCGTGGACTTCAACTCCCAGAATTCCTGAGCCCATATATATATATATATATATAGGCCTTTGGTTATTCGGGTTTTCTCCCGCGTAAAATTGAAAGTGTCTTGGCGACGTTTCAACGAAGTCCCATTCGTCATCTAGGTCTTTGGTTATTCGGGTTTTCTCCCGCGTAAAATTGGAAGTGTCTTGGCGACGTTTCGATGAAGTCCCATTCATCATCTTCAGGCTGGTGTTTTCAGCTTCGTGCTTCTAGGAGCACGAAGCTGAAAACACCAGCCTGAAGATGACGAATGGGACTTCGTCGAAACGTCTCCAAGACACTTCCAATTTTACGCAGGAGAAAACCCGAATAACCAAAGACCTACATACAAACACCCGCGAAAACCTCAGAAAACATATATATATGTATATATTATATATATATAATTTTCTATTTTTACAATCCAGTGCTTAATAGACAACGTGATGACTGAGTCCATTAGTAATTCCGTGGTACATGTAAGCTTCAAACTAAATCCAATATCACACCCTCCAATTACATCCTCTCTTCTTTTGGTAATAGACATTTCCCCACAATCCTTATAAATTCTAACAGGAAGTTCTCTCTTCTTTTTTTTACAAGCAGGTGATAGGCAGAACAATCAGAACCACAAGCAGCCAAAGTTAGTACTACTGCAAACAGCCCAGTATGAAGCGGAAGTGATATTTGGCCATCAAGGGGATCCAAAAAGCCAAGAGAAAAGCCACCCAGAAGATAGAGGAGAGAGGTCCCCCACTTCTCTCCCTTTTGAAATCCATCCATTCCAGATCCAGGAAGCTCAGAAGAAAAACACCAATGGAAAATACGCAGGACGTGGCCAAAGAGAGAAAAATAAATTTAATTTGCATGAATATTGTAGAAGCCAGGCTAAAAGGAAGCAGTGTGGTTGCAGGCAATATGGAAAAAATGTTAATGGTTTCTTCCCTCTTGGCGCACCCAAAAAACTATGCAGGAAACGCAAACCACATACATTTATCAAACTTGGGAGGGGTTTTAGTCTGAGCACATATGGTTATTCCCGTGAAGAATTTCACACAAAGGCGTGTAAGTGCGTGAAATGTGGAAAGAGCTTCAGTACAAACGGTAACCTCCTTCGCCATCAAATGATCCACACGGGCGAAAAGCCATATCAATGCGCTGAGTGCGGAAAGAGATTCATTGAGAACAGAGATCTCACTCGTCATAGAAGGGTCCACACGGGAGAAAAGCCATATAACTGCCCAGAGTGTGGGAAGGCCTTCAGAACAAATGGTCATCTGACTCGCCATCAAATGGTCCATACAGGGGAAAAACCCTACAAATGCATGGATTGTGGGAAGAGCTATATTGAAAACAGAGATCTTACTTGTCACAAAAGAATCCACACGGGAGAGAAACCATATAAGTGCAGAGTGTGTGGAAAGAGCTTTCCTCGGAACAGTGCCCTGATTGGCCATCAAAAAACCCACACTGGAGAGAAACCTTATAAATGCCTGGAATGCGAGAAGAGCTTCATTAAGAAAGGACAACTTACTTCCCATCAAAGGATCCACACAGGTGAAAAGCCATATAAGTGTATGGAATGTGGGAAGAGCTTCAGTAGAAGCAACAATCTTACGTCCCATCAAAGGATCCACACAAGGGAGAAACCCTATGAATGCACAGAGTGTGGAAAGAGCTTTCTCTGTCACAGTGGCCTTTCTCGCCATCAGAGGAGACACACGGGGGAGAAACCCTATAAATGCACCGAGTGTGGGAGGACCTTCATTCAGAAAGGACAACTTGTTTCCCATCAGAGGATCCATACAGGGGAGAAACCGTATAAATGCACGGAGTGCGGAAAGACCTTCAGTAGCAAGAGCGCCATTGCCTACCATCAAAGAGTCCACACCGGCGAGAAGCCCTACAAATGCACAGACTGTGGGAAGACTTTTATTCAGAAAGGGCAGCTTGTTTCCCATCAGAGATTTCACACGGGGGAGAAGCCGTATAAATGCACGGAGTGTGGAAAGAGGTTCGGTAGTAGCAGTGCCGTTACCTATCATCAAAGAATCCACGCCGGTGAGGAAGCTGACCTTTGTGCGTGAGGAAAGATCTTCAGGTAGAGCAATGGCCTCCCTTGCCATCACATGACCCAGACATAGAAGTGGGCGAGAGGAAGGCCGAGCATGAGTGAACTCTCACTCAACTTACACTCCATGCGTGTCCAGATACGAGGAAGAGGAGGTCCTTTCATGGGATTACCCCAGTGGAGCTTGGTTGCCACAGTTGATGGCTAAAGGAATGCTGGAACTAAATATGGCGGTGTACCCCAGTAAATGGAAGAAAAAGAAGGAGGAAGAACCACCGAGCTGTAGAAAGAGGTGAAAAGAGTGTGTGCAATTTGCAAAGTTATTTTTTAGCCATTCATCATGGAGGAAAAGTCCATGTTAATGCTTTTGACATTTACCCTTATTTATGTGTGCCTTTAACACAGGGGTAGGCAACCTTGGCTCTTTTATGACTCGTGGACTTCAACTCCCAGAATTCCTGAGTCAGCCATGCTGAGGGGAAAGGGAGAGGTTTCCAAGCTGAGCCATGCTGGCTCAGGAATTCTGGGAGTTGAAGTCCACGAGTCATAAAAGAGCCAAGATTGCCTACCCCTGCTTTAACATTTAATATAACCAAGGTAAATGAATTCCAAACTGCATGTCCCTCTTTCGGTCTATGTTGCCCAAATTATTTTTGTTCCCAATTTTGTACAGGTAATCCTCAACTTAGCAGCCACAATTGAACCCAAAGTTTCTGTTGTTAAGTGAGACATTTGTTAAGTGGGTTTTGCCCCATTTTACGGCCTTTCTTGCCACCATGGTTGAGCGACTCGCTACAGTTGCTAAGTTAGTAACCCGGTTGTTAAATGAATCCAGTTTCCCCATTGACTTTGCTTGTCAGCAGGTCGCAAAAGGGGGATCATGTGACCTTGGGAGCCAGCAACGGTCCTAAGTATGAGCCCCTTGGCTCTTTTATGACTCGTGGACTTCAACTCCCAGAATTCCTGAGCCAGCCATGCTGAGGGGAAAGGGAGAGGTTTCCAAGCTGAGCCATGCTGGCTCAGGAATTCTGGGAGTTGAAGTCCACGAGTCATAAAAGAGCCAAGGTTGCCTACCCCTGGTCTACTTTAGGGCACTTGAAAATCAGGTGCAATGGTTAGGGATTTGGATTGTAAGAGAAAGGATTTTCCTTTTGTTTGTTTTTTTCTCTTTCTTTCAGATGTTTCTCCTCACTTTCTCCTCCCTTTTTTTCCATAGGGCTGTATTCCCATATAGGTAGTCCTCAACGTATGACTTTCAACTGAGCCCAAAATTTCTGTTGCTAAACAAGACAATTGTTGTAAGTTTTGCCGTTTTACAACCTTTCTTGCCATGGTTGTGAAGTGAATCCCTGCAGTTGTCAAATTAGTAACACAGTTGTCAAGTGAATCTGGCCTCCCCATTCTTTAGTTATTCGGGTTTTCTCCCACGTAGAATTAAACGTACCTTGGCGACGTTTCGACGAAGTCACATTCGTCATCTTCAGGCTGGTGTCTTCAGCTTCGTGCTTCTAAGAGTGGTGTGTGATCGCAGCTGTTTCTTCCTTTTAACTGCCAGTGGGGTTGGAGCTGATTGGGTGGGAGCTTGGCTGTGTTCTGATTG